GGGGACCCTGTGACACCCCATTGAAGAGCTATAGGCTGGATCTCTTAAGATCTCACTGTTGGGTTTGTAAGGCCATGTTACTCCTAAATTTCTATCTTGTTCAAAGAGAAGATATAAAACAAAGTTCTAAGCTAATCGACCTTAGTGTTCTCCTTTTTTAAAAATAAGAATCGATAAAGAATCGAATCGTTAAACAGAATCAAAAAAGGAATCGGAATCGTGAAAATCTTATCAATACCCATCCCTACTCACGAGGTTTTCAACTGACAGAACTTAGAGAAAGATTTTACCTTCACATAGGTGATGCAAACATAAGCTGTAATGTTGCCATGGAGATCAGCACAGAAAACTCTTTTATTAAGGTGAGATTTAAGGTGGATTTAAGGTGGATTTATCTGTTCTGGGCCATTTGTCTGTCCGCTTACATAAGCAAAGGATTAATTTAGTGTGGATCCTGGATGGGTTTCTTTAAAAATCAAGAAGGGGCTTTGCCACATTATGCTTCTGTCGGTGCCCTTCCAACCATCAACTGACACGGTTGTATTACAACCACTAAATTAACTTGACTGAACTGACACGATGGAACAGATTATTTATTTATTTTTTAAACTGATGTAATAATTACTGACACACCTGAAATTGAATAATTTGACTATTTATTTGAGGTAAAATGAACAAAAACGAATTTTGGGTTTATTAACAACCGAACCTGTTACCTCCAGACAAAGCACTAGTGTTTGGATTATTTTTCTGTTGTTGAGGAAAAAAAACGATAGTGTCAGTAGCACAGGAGCCAAAACATCATATTCAATGAAAATGAGGCACCATTAGAGCCTCACAAACTGCCTCTGGGCAACTATCAACCCACAGCGACAACATACAGGGATACCTAACCATGTCAGAGTCTCCTTCCAGCACATTGGGCCCACGTTGAGACGGACTGAAACAGCCATTGGATCTGACAGACACAAATAGCAGACCTTTTGCAGCTAGAAAAATGAGGCGACCATCTTGTCCCCTATGGATTCATACGGGCTGATACGCAACACCTGACACAACAGTCTTAAAGGTGATTCTGGGGGACTGCCCTGGCCTTTACAAGAAAGATCGACAGACAGAGGGGGGTGGGGGCGTCCAGATGTGTGACATCACCTCTCATTTCTGCTTGGCTAGCCTCTTTGTGGCAGCCTTGTGTTTGTGTGTGTTTGTGAGCCTATACGATATGCATGAGTATTCTAACAGCTCCACCCGTTTATCCCGAGGGCAAAACGGGAGCAAGACACATAGAAGACGGCGACACACAAAAACATCAATGGGCATTTGACTGTGAGCCATGCATAATTAGCAGGTTTATCAGCCAGCTGTGAAGAAATCGTATTATTCCTGTGTTTGGATTTCAGTAGGAAGAGGAGGGAAAAAAATCCTTAATGAGAACAAAAAAAGACCTTTTGTTTTTATTCAACGGGGATTGAATGCGATTGGGAATGGATACGCTCCTCGATCGGCAAGATAGGAGTATATAGCCCAGGTTTATTCTTGCACACGCCTGAGCGCTTCCAATTTTCAGAGACAGGCGTCCCCGAGATCTGATTTCATTTCATATTGTTGACAAAGAGGCCAAAGCCGGTCTGCCTCCCTGCTGAGAAATGCAAACCAGGATCACCGCCTCAGTCTTATGCTGTGCCAAGAGGGAGCGTGTACATGTGTGGTAAATACAGAAAGATGTATACCGTTCTGTATTCCACTCATGCACACAGTGGAGCGTGAAGAAAGAGAGGGAAGAGGTGACAGAGTGAGACTGACAGAGAAAAGGGGAGATGGGGCAGGGGTGTCATGACATGTGGTTGCGACACCCACGCATGCACGCACAAGTAAAACCAAATGCCAGCTGTTGCAGCCAGCCTGTGGCGTTCCGAAATGGCATTACTTTGGCTCACAGATCAATGGTGCTGATCTGTGATAAAGATCCCATTGCCCATCATTATTTCCAGTGGTGGCCGTTTATTTTCATTCATGCCTCCTTGTTTAGGAAAGGGTCTCATCCAGAAGAGATCTGGCCTTTGCCGAGAATAAACGCTGTTTTTATGGAATGATACTGTTATTAAAAAAATAAATAAAAAGCTATGCTCATCCACTTGACGCTCATCAGAGCCGTGACCTTCCAAATGGAAAATGTAAAGCCTCTGACTCCAAAGGATGTTATGCTTCTCAGTCAAACAATACTTAGTGTTCTGGAGAAACTGCAGCCGTGTTTATCCAAACAGAGCAGTTTATTAATGGAATTAGTGTAAAAGTGAGGGTATGCAGCCACAGGATGTTGCCTCTGACCGCTGGAGCGCAACGGTGGTTCATTAATTTTTCAGCAAAGCTGCCTGCAATATTTATCAAGGAAGGGATTTATGTTGATAACAGTGGATTAGAGTACTACGGTGAAGTAAGAGAAGATAATGTATTAAATTGTTGTATATGTACGGTAAGTGCGAGGCGACACGCACCAGGATGTGTCTGCTTAAACATAGTTGGCCTTAAAATGAGTTTGAAGGAGACATTACACAGATGGCTTCAGGAAAGGCGACGGTAGCTGTGAACAATGTTTTCCTTCTGGACTTTTCATGCTTAAAGTGAAGAATTTAAAAATATCCATAATAGGGTACTTCTATGATTTTAAATTAACTTCAAATCTATGATTATAATCTCATTATGAGGTGTCATTATTACTTAACAGGTTTTTTTTTCTTTTTTGAAAACAATACTGAGGAAGAGAAATGATTATTTTTATTTCCTGACTTTCCAAGCGCTTTAGCGTTTTTTAGAGGGGCTCATTCTTACTCTACATATGATACAAATATGTAAATATATGTAATCTGTTCAGGGATGCTGG